CTTCTTTTTTTTGTAAGTGCTGGTAGGCACGTAAGTAATCGCCTGCTGGGTGTCTCCATCTAAATCGAGCGTGGTGCTTACTAAGGCTTATGGGGTAGTAGTTTACTCCCTCGAATTTGAGAGACGCTGGATGATTAGAAGCTTATTCCCTGGAGGTATTCCAAAGGTCTTCCGAATCTGTGTGTCATTACGGGGGGGGGGAACACGACATCTTCCATTCTAGCCGCAACTGAAAAGGGAGGAAATCCCACATCTTGTGTTTAAGTTTCTGTAATAGGAAAGGAAGGGGGAGGGAGTTGTTCTGAAATCAGGCTAGGATTGAAATCGGATTAGGACTCGCTAGGGTGAAAACCTAAATATGTGTCAGATTACTTTGACTTCACCCGAGGGTGTTTTCCATGCTTCTGTTGATATTATCACTTAATTTCACTTCTGTAATCAGTACAGCTGGAATTTTAGTCTTTGAAAGCATGTTTTGTATTTTAGCAGAATTCACACCTCTGCTGCTATTGTTTGGGTGGAGACAATTTTATGCAGGTCAGGCTTAGCAGCAGCAGTGTCTTTAAGATGACATTCACGGTGTTAGCTAATCTTTATCTTAATTTTTGTTTAACTTGGTGACAGTGAATCCTTCTCACAGAAAATATTGTATGTGAGGAATATGATAACTTCAACACTTCTGGCTAACATTAGTAAATGTTAGAAAGTAACTAAAAATTGCCCATCCTTCTGTTTAGTGGTTGCTTTTCAGGGTAAGGAGGAGGCGTGGTGGGTTTCTTTTTCCCCTTCTCATCCACTGAGGCTCTTCCTGCTGCTCCTCATTCATTTTGTCCTCGTCTCATCTCCCTGTATTGGTTACTGGCTTTGTTGCTGCTTTCTCAGTCACTGGCCTGAATCCATCAGAGCGCTAAACAGGGAAAGGTTATGTATGTTCGTGCCTAGTGTGAACTGATCTGTCATCCATACTTGCTTATATTATAGCGTTCCTGAGACTAGGGGAATTAAATGTCTGCCTCTGTGGGGTGGAAGGGGGGAATTGACTGCCTAAGCTTTGCTGAAATTAGTTAAACCAGACCAACTAAGGTAGCTTAGCTCTCATTTCTTCCTAAAGGGGAGTAATTATTTTGGAATAGCATATTTGCTGTTATGGAGAAGTATATCCTCTAGGGTTGTCTTCCAGTGTGCTGACTGGCTTCCTTTTGTGGCTGAGCCTATGACTGTGTGGCAGATAGTTCCAATGATGTTAATGTGGTTAAAGCTTTCATCCATGCTTTTGAAAAGGGTTAAAATTTGAGAAGCATCTTTCTTCTGGGGGCAGCAAACAGATCAAACACAGAAGTGTGTGAAAATTGTTTACCCATGGAGATATGCTAAAATGAAATTTAGAATAATTTAAAGGACTCTAAAAAGATGAGAAATGTGTCATTGTCTTTCAAAGCAACTTAATTTGTATTAAATGGCTGAAATTTTGTACTACACCTTTTTGACTCTCTTCTGGTCACAGTACTTAATTGAAAGTTCATGTTAGAAGTACCCTTCTAAGTAAGCTTTATCTAACTTAAGTCTCTAGAAGTGAAACAAGTAAGTTAAGTTTATAGTGGAAAATGAAGGAGCACAGTAGTGCTATATAATTGCCATTACTTACTGTGCTTCTCTTCAGGTACTGCTACACAGACTGACCTGCTGACTCGACATTGTCTGTATTTAGTGAAAGTTACAAGTTCTCCACAAAATGTTTCTTTTATAAATCAAATATTACACGTAACTCCCAACTGTCAGCAATTAAATACACTTTTTTTGGTCCCTGTGCTGCAGTAAGGAATTTTACATAGAGATCCTGTGTCCAGTTTTCTGTACTTAACTTCGGAAACCGAGAGGCATCAGTGCTGTTGGCATTGATCTGCATTTACACGTTTTGTCAAATTCCACCAATGAGAATGTAAGTGGTTAGGATGATGGAGTAATAAATCATGGTCTGATATCTAGATTATATCTTTTGGAAAATCTAAAATATTCAAAGCCATACGCCTTCAAGTTCAGTTTGAAAACAGTGGTGTTTGAGTCACCTTCTGCCTGGAGACAGTCACTGCCTTTGAACTCCTCAAGCTTGAATACATTCTTTAGTAATCCTCCTTTGGCTTCTAATAAATACTGATGAGTTATTATTGATCCCCTCTGGGTACAGACTCTTCTGGCAGACCAAAATATTTACTCCTTTAATTTGTAGTTAACTCCTATTTTATTACGGGGTTTGCTAGGCCATATAATTGTCTTTGTTTTTTGTTAATACAACTTTAAGGGAAACAAAAGATGAGTAAGTACTTCTGTTTTATGTTAAGACAGACCTCTGTACCCCATGCAACTTCTCTCTCTGCTCGTTTTCTAAGAGCAAAGAAATGGATCTGTTGAGCAGAAGTCAAAGCTGCTGAATCCTTGACCTGCACGGGTTCACTCTACTTTTCCTCATTTCAGGTTTGGGTGGAAGTTTTGTTGGCTTAATCTGTTAAGGAGGTAGAGTTGTGTATATAGAACTGGAATTCTGATTTTGAGGTATCAATACTTCCAAAAAGTATTTAGCCCCCAAAAGGGCTAATAGCAAAATCAAATGGCAGAAACGAAGCGTTACTCACTTAGTATAAGTTTGTGTTCTTGCTTTTATTAGTGAGACTCTTCTATTTTATAGGTACTGACGTGATTAGCAGCAGACAGAGCTAACCTGAACCTGCAAAGCTGAGCGATAAGGAGCCAAGACACTAGTGGGTTCATTTGGACGAACAGCTACCAGAACAGTTTCTTGTCACAACCTTCTCAATTTTGTATTCTCCAGAGATGTGAAGGGCTTTTAAAATTGTCCCATATATGAAAAGAAAGCTTTACTGTGGTGATCATAGGCATGTAGTCTTAAGTCTCAGTGGGTTTCTTCTAAATGTACAGCACTGATTATTCCAATACAACTGAGGGTTTACAGGACAAGCTTAAATAGTTGCAATCACTTAATTCATAATACCCCTTGTAACTGCTGCATTTATTTGTTTACATTGATATCTAAGCCAACCTAGCTTTTAGAAAACCTAATTTGAACCTTCTGATTTTTCTGTTTGCAGTTCTTCAACTTCATTCTTTGCCTAGTAACATCCTCCTTAGACTTTTTTACTTCTACTTCTTGGACCAGAAGTGTTACTTACTCTTTATTGCAATAGCAGGCACCTACATGTTGGCTCGCCGTTCTGATGTTTAAGGTGAACAATTCAGCCCATTTCTTTTTCTTGGGATTAGTCAGCATCACTGACTGAAAGAGGAAAAACTCTTGATAAGCGGATATGTTACAATTTGTTGGACTGTCTGCATGACTTGCTGTTATTTTTGTGTGTGGTGCAATGAGACTATGCAGTCATGTAATTAGTAAAATGCATATTGCATTAAAAGTAAAGCTCCATGTGCACTCATTTAAAAAAAAATCCAACAACTAGTGAGGACTTAGTACATTATAGCCTAAATAACTTTCTGTAAAAACACTTTAATGACTGGGAATAAAATTTCCTTTTTGTGTACTTGCAATACCCCTAATCATAAGTCAAAAAGATACAAGTCATTGAACTTCTGTTGCTTAGTCCATAGGCTTAACCTCCTGAAATTTGTTGAAGGCTATTTACCAAAAGGAGACATAGCCACTCTGCCATCTTTCACCTGTTCCTGCTCTATTTGGTTTTAAGCTTCAGAGATCCTGGCCACTGCTGTCTTTTCTCCAGTTACAGCTTTTTGGGGGCAGTTGTATCACCTTTTGCTCTGTGACACCTTTGGGTCCAGGAACTTGGAAGGATCCATTTTTATTCTGTACTGTTAGCATCCTGACCCCAGAAGAGGCAGGGGAAGAAACTGGGCTTAGCTTGCATCTCCATCATCAGCGGTGGCAGCTTCAGTGCATTTACTGTTGCTGCTTTGCTAACACTGTGGGTCTAGTTCTTGAGGATGCTTGAATTTATTCACATTTCTCTGTCATGATGCCATGAATTTTTTTGCAAGCAGAGGTATTATCATTCTGGGGAGGCCAAATCTGTACAGTCTCTGGGCATCTGAGAATGGTATAGGTTGACTTAAAGCCATGTTCCTGTCAAATGTCAAAGGCTTATTGTGGTGGAGATACCATAGCTGCGCAGTGTTAACGAATGAGCAGACGTGTTGCTACCAGCTCATGTCTTGATACTGTTCTGTGCACTGACTAGTGTTTTTCTTGTCTCCTTGTACTCCCCTCAAACACTACATGAAACAAAAAAGGCAATCCTAGAAAGCTTGTTACTCCCAGCTACTTCACAACAATGCAGTTTCTTTCAGGAGCTCACTTTTACAGGTTGATCAGCTATCTGCCTTTCACTTTGTTGGCACAGGAACTGATACTGGCAAAATAAGACGTGGGAGGGAATAGGGCTGTAACAGCTGATTTAGGTTGGTTTAGGGTACTGTGGACCTGCTGTCTTAATAGCCTCACTGTCTCAGTGAATCTTGGTAGTTTAAGTGAAAACACAGGTGTCAGGTAGTTTCCTGTTGGGAACTAGATTTAATATGAGATCCAGTACTTTCACGCAGAGTTTCTAAGCTCTGACTCCTGTAGCTTCTTTATTACCTTTTGAGGCCGGTGTACTTTTGGGAGAATGCAGGTGTATGTGTTTGTACCTTAAAAAGAATTACATGGGTAGGTAGTAAGAGGTTGATGTGGGAGGCCTCCTTAGTTGCTATTGCTACAAAATTCTCCAAACTTTAGTTAGTCTGCAAGTAAATAGTATAATGCTGTGAAATGTTTGTGACTCTTGGCAGAAAAAAACTGCCTAGTAGGTCCACTTACATATACTGTCTTATATTTTCCTTGTGAGGTTCAAAATCAGTTGAATGCATTGCATTTTAAAATGCTTAAAGACACAGATACCTTAGAAAGTCATTTTTTATTTCAGAAATACCTGTGGAGAAAACAATTTGGAGATGGCATCTCATGATGAACATAATCTCCATAAGCTGATTGGGATCTGTGCTTGCTGTATTGAGGCCCAATTATTGCTGTTTGTTGTTGTGATATACCAAGCCTTAGCTAATCTCCCTGTAATTACAGAATTTGTTTTTCTTCATTTTTATGTATTTCTAATACTACAACAGTTGCTCTGGTATCTCTAAAGCTGCTTCTACTAAAGGATTGATTTTTAACTTGTAAACTATCCAAGTCTGGTCAAAGTTGGTAGCAGTGTAACTGTCATAATAGTTTTAAGAGCTCTTTAACTATTTTTACCTTAGTTCTTTGAGGCTTTCATCATATTTGTGCAGTTCCAGCACAAATCCAGGCAGGACACTTTGTCCTCTGAAACTGTGTTATCTGAAAAGACAACGATTAGGAGGATGTACCAGCTACAAGTGAGTGATCAGATTTGTATTTATTGTGGGATTGGAAGTGGAATGAGGCATCTAATTTATAAGATCAGGCTAGAAGAGGCAATGAACTGGTTGAAGCTGATGGGGCGTGTCATTGAGTAGTAAAGACAAATTGCCAAGTGAACTGACTTGAAACAAAAAAGAAATGTAAAACCTATATATTTTCCAAGAATAGAGTCTGTCAATTGTTTCCAAAATACTCAGCACTGTGAAACTCTGATACTGAATTGGTATTCCTGATTATTTCTGTAATAGCAGAAGCTGCGGGCTTTGCATTCCATTTCACAAAATTTGACATGGGTAGTCAAAAGAGCTAGTTTCTTCCAAAGAGTTAGTCCTGCATCAGAACTGTCTGTGCTTTAGAGCAAACTAGTTGCAAAGCTCTTAATGTTTCTTTAATTTTCTGCTCCCTTAGCTTCCTGAGCCAGCCCTTCATGTCTGGAGAAGACTGGTGCTGGCTCAAAGAGGTCAGTGTGAAGGGGAGAAGGTATACCTTGTCTAGTGATATTTAACTGTTGGATTGTTATCCCCTCACAGCCAGATTGACACCATTAAATGTGTTGGGGAAGCTCCATCTCATTTCTTCTGGGTCAGCTGACGCATGTCTCCTTTCTCAGGTTAAACAAATGCTAGCTGGTTTTAAACTTGGTTGTGTGTGTGTGTGTTTACAGCAAGTACAAAATAGGAGTATATACTGCATGAATGGCTGCAGAACAGGAGACAAAATTAGTATCTTCCCCATTCGAACACCCATTACTGAATGACTTGTTTCCCTCATATTCTGTCAAGTCTGACCAGCTGAGGATTTCTTCTTGTGCATTTTGAACCTTGGTTATTGTCAGATTCAGTAACAGGTAGACTTTGGAGGTAGTGATAGAATAGGTGATTTGCAAAATCAACTCGGAGAAATGGCTTCCTCGTAGTTTGACTTGTTAGCCTTGATGGAGATGTATTTTAATGAGTGCTCAAGCCCCATTGCAAACTTGCTGGTGTGGAATATAGTCAAAGCTCATCTGCATGAGGAGGAGGTGGTTAGAAGGTGGTCAGACAGGGTGCTAGGGTGACTCGTGGCCAGGTTTTCAGAGATGCAGTGAGGGATTCCTGGCCAGGTGCAGCATGAGATTTCAGGTTTGCAGTTCTCAGAATGTCCTAGTCCTTGCTTTTTCTTAGTCAACTAAAGTGTAAGTCAGAAAGTCAATGAAATTATGCAGACATTGTGTGTTTCTCAGGTAAGCTAAGATCACCCTAGCCAGCAAATACTGTCGTAGGCATCAGGGTTTCTCGCTTCTTTTCGTGCGCACAAATGTTAGATGCAAAGTCAGTGGTAGTGATTTCTCTGCACCAAAAATCTGACTTGCAGCCAGATATAGAAGGCTTTCCACATCAAGAGAGAATCCTGAAATGAGAGAGCCCTGCTAGAAGTCAGCAGGATCCTGTTAACCACTGTTCGTCAGGCGTGCAACAAGAACGTAGGCTGGTAATGGGTAGTGTTCATAGCACTGAATACACAGCAATAAAGAGCAACCTTCTGGACAGGAAGAGATGTTTAAGGAGCTCTGACACAGGCAATCAATGGGCTGGCACCTTTGAGCATCATGAGCTGGTAGTGGCTGTTCAGACTCTGGCAGTACCCTCTTCCCATGCCCATTGTTGATAGGGGTATATGGCCCACTATACTTACCTGCTCAGTGTAACTTGTGTTTTGGTGGGCCCTGTAGCTGTGAGGTTCGGAGGAGTTTTGTACTGGTTCTTGTGCATCAAACCCAGACCACTTCTGGTGGTCTAAGTGACTTCTTAGACTTATTAGGGCTAGCTGATACTCTTTTTATGGAAGGACATATAAATTGAAATTTTAAGAAACTGAAGGTATTGTCAAGGAGACAAGTATGATACCCAAAATGTTCAAATGGCAGAAACATGGAATCAGGGCTTATGTCACATTAAAAAGGGAGGTAGAAGCATCTGGAATTCATGATACTGAAATGATTAAACCAGAGGGTTTGCTGACAGGGTTCATAAAAGATCGTGGGATGTTGCTGAAGTGTATTTTCTAATTCCTAATGCTCCATCTTCTTCCTGGGTTGTCAGCTGGGGTTATTGTTTTCTCTTGCATCTTGAGCAGAATGATCTCTTCATGGATTTAATTAGGCAGCTAGCACATGTTTAATCTTTTTTTTGCCTTTTGATTATATCTTTCAAGAAATAGGAAAAAAAAAAATCTGATTTCATTTGAGCCATGTAATATTATACCAAAAAAGCTTGCTGTGGTTGAATATAGACTAGCTCTCTAGGGACTTGATTTGTCATTTTTTCATGGCACCCTGTGAATGTATGCAAATTGCAATTATTGTTCCCATTTTATAGGTGGAATAACAGGACTTTTTTCCTCACTTCACAGGGAGGTGCATCATAGAATCATAGAATGATTGTCTGAGGTACTTTTGATATTACGGTTGAAGACTGTTTAAGTGCCTGG